GGATTAAAAGACAGGAAGCCAGACAGAGGAACAGTCAGCCACATTGACCCAGGTGGGGGGGATACGAGAGGTCCCCAACAGCAGGACAAACTTGTCTGTCGGTTTGTCCTACTGTGGTGACATGTAGACTTGAGTTTTGAGGCTGAGCCTCTGGTGTTTAAAACTATCTAATACCTAAATGTAATTATGTCACATGTTTTTACTTACAAAATAAAATCCCTTTCATATCTAGACTACTTAACATAATTTCTAGTTGGTCAGCCCTAGTATTTCTTTTGTGGTTAAGACTCTGATTCATAGCAAACCTATGTACAACAGAACTGAACATTGACTGGTTCTGCAGCATCCTTAAAATACTTGCTATGCTTGATCCCATCGTCATAGCCACTGGGTCAATCCATCTCATTGAGCATCTTCCCTTTTTCAATAACCTTTATTTTTCCAAGGATGTTGTCCTTCTCCAGGGACCAGTCTGTTTCAATAATATGACCAGAGTACACTAGAAGAAGTCTGGCCATTCTTGCTTCTAAGAAGCATTCTGGCTGTACTCCTTTCAAGACAGATGTGTTCATTCTTCTGGCAGTCTACAGTATTTTCAGTATTCTTTGCCAAAACAACAACTCAAAGGCATCAACTCTTCTCTGGTCTACCTTATTCACTGTCCAGCTTTCACATACGTATGAGGCTACTGAAAATACCATGGCTTGGGTCAGGACACCTTAGTTAAGTCTTCAAAATGACATCTTTGCTTTTTAACACTTTAAAGAGGTCTTCTGCAGATTTGCACAGTGCAATACATCGTCTTATTTTTTTCACGCTGCTTCCATGGGCACTGATTGTGGATCCAAGTGAAATGAAATCCCTGACAACTTCAATCTTTTCTCTGATTATCATGATGTTGCTTATTAGCCCATTCTTAGTTCTCTAGTTCTGCTGAAATAGAAATATCACAAGTGGATGGCTTTCACTAACAGAAATGTATTCTCTTACAGTTTAGAAGGCTAGAAGTCCAAGTTCAGAGTGCCAGCTCTAGGGGAAGACTTTCCTTCTCTCTCTCCCTGTTTCTTGTTCCTAGAAGGATTCCAGCCCAGGGACCCTGGGGGTCCAAAGGACATGCTCTGCTCCTGGCTCCTCTTTCTTGGTGATAGTAGGTACTGTTTGCTTGCTTCTCTCTCCTTTTATCTCTTAAAATAAAAGGTGTTACAAGCCACACCTCAGGAAAGCTCGCTTTACTTGGATCAAGGCTGTGGTGGGACCAAAGGTGTTGCTACCCACCAGTAATCTTAATTCTTTTATTGCTGATTGGCTTATCACATCAGATCACATCATAGGGTATCATTACATATCTGCCACATTATACCATTATAACTTCTAAACCACTGAGAAATAACGGCCTAACCTAGCTGACACAAATTTGGGGGAGACAAAATTCATTCCATGACAGTCCGGCTGAAAGAAAGAAAG